TTTTGCTCCGTACATGGACGCCGTCCACGGGACGGACATGTTGCGGCTGAGTCCGCCCTTGCGGCTACATCTGCCCGCGCGGCTGAGTCCGCCCTTGCGGCTACGGCCGCCCGCTCCGCTGAGTCCCCCATGGCCACCGCCACGTTCGCCCACGCGGCCATGCCCATCGTCGCGACTGTGTCCGACCTTGGCAGTGGGGAAGACCGGCATGCCGAAGTATTGAGGTGCAGCGAGAATCGACGAAGCAGATCCCGACCGGCAGGTGTGCAGTTTGATCCTGGAGGCCTCACCATGAATCCTAGGGATGATATCTCTGGAAATCGGATCAGCAACCTAAATTGCTTGTCTTGGAATTGTCGCGGAGGGGGGAACGCCATTACTATTCGTGATCTGGAAGGCCTGATAAAGGCTAATGATTCCCAGATTGTTTTCCTCTGTGAGACGCGGCAAAGAGAAGAAAGGATGCGACGGCACTGTCGAAGGTTAGGCCTACGTGGCTTTACCGGAGTAAGTAGCAATGGAAATAGTGGAGGACTTGCACTATACTGGGATGATAGTTTGTTCGTTGAAGTCCAGGATACTAGTGATAGATATATTGATGTCCATGTGAGGGTGTCTCCGGAGGATCCCTTGTGGCGGCTGACTTGCATTTATGGAGAACCGAGAGCTGAGAATAGACACCATATGTGGAGCAAGCTGCAGGAGTTAAAACAAAAATCAAACTTACCTTGGTTGATAGTTGGAGACTTTAATGAAGCCCTATGGCAGTTCGAGCATCTCTCGTCTACTCCTCGCCCAGAGAATCAGATGGCTGCTTTCAGAGAGGCACTTGCTGTTTGTGAGCTGAGGGATATTGGCTTCTCTGGCTTGCCATTCACCTTTGACAATAAGCAGAGAGGGTAGCGCAATGTTAAAGTACGTCTCGATAGGGCAGTAGCGGACGACAGGTGGCGAAATATTTGTACAGAAGCACGGGTTGTGCACTTGGTGTCGCCATGTTCACACCATTGTCCTCTGCTTGTACGGTTGGCACAAGAAAAACATGAGCATATTCAGAGGTGCCGCGCACCTAGCCGACAGTACGAAATACTATGGGAGCGAGCAGGCGAGTTACCGGAGCTGGTAGCTAATGCATGGGCAGAGGCTGGCCGGAAGAACGATCTGGGCGCAATACGCATGGGCCTGGACAAGGTCATGAATGTCCTCCAAGGATGGAGTAAAAGGAGGTTTGGCAACGTCCTCAAAGAACTAGAAAGAACAAGAGCTGAGTTGGAAAGGTTACACAAAGAAGGTGCAGATCAACGAGAGGTGCGGCGTGTCACAGATTACATGAACGAGTTGCTCTATCGGGAAGAGATGCTATGGTTGCAAAGATCCCGTATAAGCTGGCTCAAAGAAGGGGACCGCAACACAAATTTTTTCCACCAAAGAGCTGTGTGGCGTGCACGAAAAAACAGGATAAAAAGGCTAAAAGATGCTGAAGGAATTTGGAAGGATACACCCTCGGACATGGAGCAAATGGCGACATCCTTCTTTAAGGAGCTATTCACCCGTGACCCCAATGTGAATGTTGATAATTTGGTACCCCTTTTTCAAGAATTGGTGACGGCTGACATGAATGACATGTTATGCAAGGACTTCACAGAGGAGGAAATTGGTGATGCCTTATTTCAAATCGGACCTCTGAAGGCACCGGGGGTTGATGGATTCCCAGCTCGTTTCTTTCAACGAAATTGGGCTACTTTACAAGTTGAGGTAACTAATGCAGTTAAATTATTCTTTGCGACAGGGAGGATGCCCGAGGGCGTAAATGACACAGCCATTGTGCTTATACCCAAAGTTGAGCAACCAGAATGTCTCAAGGACTTCAGACCTATAAGTCTTTGCACTGTGCTCTACAAGGTAGTGGCAAAGTGTCTGGTAAATAGACTTAGACCAATCCTGAGTGATCTGATATCTGAGAACCAAAGTGCATTTGTGCCTGGACGTTTAATTACTGATAATGCCTTGATTGCCTTTGAGTGTCTGCACTTCATCGAGCATAATACAAATGAGGATAAGAATTTCTGTGCATATAAGCTGGACCTATCTAAGGCTTATGACAGGGTGGACTGGGAGTTTTTAAGGAGAACAATGCAAAGAATGGGCTTCGCTCACCGGTGGGTCGGATGGATTATGGCATGTGTGACCACAGTGAGGTATACAGTAAAATTTAATGGAGCTCTTCTGGATTTGTTCTCGCCTTCCCGTGGACTCCGGCAAGGTTGCCCTCTGTCTCCCTTTCTTTTCCTCTTTGTCGCCGACGGCCTCTCGGCTCTACTACAACGTGAGGTGCAGAATGAAAATATTGAAGCAGTTAAAATATGCAGAAGAGCGCCTGGCATTTCACACTTGCTCTTTGCGGATGATAGTCTTTTGTTCTTCAAAGCTAATGCTGAGCAGGCCATCCGGATCCGAGATGTACTAGATACATTTGCTACTAGTACAGGACAACTTATTAACCTAGAAAAATGCTCAATTTTTTTTGGAGATTCTTGTGACCAAGAAACTAGAGAGGAAGTAAAGCATACCTTGCACGTAACAAATGAGGTGTTTGAGCCCAAGTACCTGGGACTGCCAACTCCTGAGGGAAGAATGACTAAGGATAAGTTTCAAAATCTACAATCAACGACAACAAAGAGGTTAATGCAAGGGGGTGATAATGACCTATCTTCAGCTGGAAGGGAGGTAAAGATAAAATCAGTGGCTCAAGCCTTGCCGGTATATGTCATGGGAGTTTTTAAGCTACCATTTGGCCTATGTGATGACGTAGAGAAATTGATCCGAAATTATTGGTGGGGTGCAAAGGATGGCAAAAGGAAAACTCATTGGATGGCGTGGGATAGACTAACACAACCGAAAGACCAAGGGGGCATGGGCTTTAAAGACATGCGTTTGTTCAACCAAGCTCTCCTAGCGCGACAAGCTTGGCGCCTCCTCCAGTACCCTGATTCCCTTTGTGCACGTGTACTAAAAGCAAAATATTACCCTAATGGAAATTTGATTGATACTGTCTTTACAGGCAACGCATCATCGACCTGGCATGCCATTGAGTATGGGTTGCAACTGCTGAAACAAGGAATCATTTGGCGTGTAGGCAACGGAGCAAGTATCCGAGTGTGGCGAGACCCTTGGATACCAAGACCATGGAGCTTGAGACCTGTAACACAGCAGCGACGATGCAGATTGAGATGGGTAGCTGACTTTCTAGAACCCAGTGGCAATTGGAATATGCAACTGCTAAACCAATATTTCCTCTCAATGGATGTTGCGGAGATAATAAAGATCAGACCATCATTGAGGAATGAACAAGATTTTTTGGCCTGGCATCCGGATAAATTGGGTATTTTCTCTGTCCGCAGCGCCTATCGCCTCGCGCTCCAGCTACAAATGAACCAGCAAGGGGTTGGAGCTACTAGCAGCCGACCAGATGGTGAGCGGCCTGGATGGCGCTTGATATGGCAGTGTCCAGTACCCCCAAAGGTAGGCGTCTTTGCATGGAAGGTAGCCTCAAATATTCTGGCAACAGAAGTGAACATGAAAACACGACATATGACACACGATGCAACATGTCGCATCTGTGGGAGGGAAGATGAAGATACTTTCCATGCGCTAGTTCGTTGCACCCAAGCGCAGCTGCTCTGGGAGGTGATGCGTGAAGTTTGGGACCTGCCGAGGGACGACATGTTGCGGACGGATGGACACGAATGGCTACTGCAGATCCTAGCGAGACAAACTGAGACCCAACGTTCGCTGCTGCTAATGCTTCTGTGGAGGATCTGGCATGTCCACAATGAACTTACACACAATAAGCCGGCTCCGCCAGCTGAGAGCTCCCGTAGATTTCTGTGTAGTTATATGGACACGCTGATGTATATAAAGCAACATCCAACAGCAGACGTAGTGAAAGGAAAGGAAACAGTGTCATACATATCAATGAGTAACCAGGACAAGCATAAGAGAGATGGCCGAAAGAAAATCAGGAAGAAGTGGCAGCCGCCTGAGGAAGGGAGGATGAAGTTGAATGTTGATGGGGCATATGCAAATGATGGAACAGCAGGCGCAGGTATGATCCTCCGCGACTACACGGGAGCCGTGATCTTCGCGGCAAGCCGACAGATACATGTTGGCATCGATGCACTCGACTCGGAGCTTGCAACGATGGAGGAGGGCCTCGCCCTCGCGCTGCACTGGACTCCGGATGCCTTCACTCTAGAATCAGACTGTGTGGAGGCCATCAAGCTATTGGATGTGAGAAGTCCGAACTCGTCCATCTATGCATCAAGGATCAGTGTGATTCGGGAGCTCATCAGGGAAAGAGATATTCAGGTAGCCCAAATCAGCCGTGATGCTAACAAGGCAAGTCACGAGCTGGCTAGACTAGGTAGAGTACAAGGCAGAACTGCCGTTTGGCTTAGAAACTACCCTCCAGAAATCGCTGAGGCGATTTGTGCTGATTGTACTCATACCCCAGTTTAATTTAATCTCTTTTCCCCGCAAAAAAAAAAATTTAAAACATATACACGAGTGGTACTAATTCGGGAAACCACGCCGTGTGCATCAAATGATGCAAACAATGCTCGACCGTGCACTTTGGCCCAGTGAATCAGGCCCACATACCCGTACGCATCTGCCTCCTCAACTCGAACCCTCGCCTTTGCCCTTGCCGAGCCCTCGCCGCCGCCACACCTCAGCCCCCTCGCCGCCACGGCAGCACCTCAGCCCGCTCGCCGCCGCGTTCGCGTGTCAGCCCGCTGGACATCCCCGCCTCCACGGTCACACCTCTCCCCGCTCGCCGCCCCCGTCGCAACCCAACCCCTCCAATGGATGCCGCCCGAACTACATCATCCAATAGGACGCCGGCCGCGGCGTCACGAAGTTGCTGGCGTCGCCCAGTTCGCCGTGGGTGAAGGCGCCTCAGACGCAAGCAAAGCTGCAGCTTCCTCAATGTATGCCTCATCATGGGGCTCGCTGTGCTGCTGGCGGACAGCCGCGGCCCCGCTAGTGTGGTGCGAGACTTCCAGATCACCCGGCGGCTGGGGTTGGAGGATGGCATTCCCACGACTCCTCATCGGGGGTGAGCGTGGCATGGAGCAGCAAGCCCATAGCTCCCTCAACCATCATGCTAATCTCTTCTTGTTATTCATCCTGAATCTATGGTGCACATACAGTACATGCTTATGTATTGTCTCAATGATAATCCTATTTTTTTAGGATTCAACTTGCGTTTTGTGCAATTTCATATACTCAATCAATAAATTCTCAGTTTTTTTTGCAGGATTTGTGTTTGTTCGGATGCTTAGGTGCAGCTGCATAAGGGGAATTGGCCGACGGTGTGCAATACATAGACAAGCAAAAGTCAGTATGGAGCAAATGCGAGTTCGGTTGCTCTTCTGTATGACTACTACATTTAAATTTGGATAGCTATTTATCTAAATGTAGCCAGGGCACTGGATTCATTTGCTTTTGTTTTCTTTTTTCAGGACAATTTCACCTTGATTTTGTTGTTAGTGACTGATTGAGGCGTCACTCCCACCACGGTGGTGACGGCAACCTTCCACCTCCAGCCGCTGTGGCCGTAGCGTACCGCTCCAATGCCATCTGACACAACCGTCTTGTGGTGGAGGAGGGCCACCTCAAACACATTGGGAAGCGGTGAGCGCGGGCTTCACCACATGTTCTGCCGAGTCATCGATGTCAGTTTCTAGGTTTGTGAGTGCACTGTCTGGTGCTTCTTTTTACGATGTCTATCAACACAAGCACAGCGTGTTCCAAGTATGAACGGAGAGAGTGCTCCCATTGGGTTCTACATGTGGACATTGTGGCCGGTGAGGCATAACTGGAAGTTTCTCTGATGGTCGACAACAAGGTACCCCACTGCTCTGAATTTTTACATGGTTAATGTGAGTTGAATCATCAAAGGTCTGCACGTTGGTAATGGTTGAAAAATTCATTGCATTTGAGAAAAATGAACAGTCTATCAGTTCTCTAATAATACATATTATAGAATGTACCTTTCTGTCCGATCATAGGATCACTGCACAATAGGCTTTGGAGCAGGCTCTGATTCACGGAGAACTCCCCAGCAACCTCATCTTTTGTGGATATTAGATGGATATTGAATCCAGTAAGCCTCCAATTGATAAACGAAGTCAATTTTCTGTTGGTAGTTTGCATGACAGGGTTCTAGCTAATTTATGATTGTGCCTACAACAGACTACCTTTGCCTGAAGATTTGAGGTGTGACTCAAATTTCGTGCTGTTAGAAATCAACAATGGAGATTTCAGTTTTTTTCATGTATATTCGTACGGATTTCAAGTTTAATGGATCATTAAATTTTATTCTATAATCAGATCTTGGTATGTTTTCAGATTTTTCAGAGAAGAAAGAAGTCTAGAGGCGTGGATGTATGTTTTTAGGGGGGAATCAAGTCTGTAGAATATACACTAATTTGAGGAATTCAGATGTTACCCTTGGTCATACAGGGAAAGTGTGAAGCACTCTGGCCAATTTTCCGCATTTCTCATCCAAGAAGCCGTTACATTTATGATCTTTTCTATAGAAGAAGGAAGGATATATCTAAGGAGCTGTATGAATTTTGCCTGGACCAGGATTATGCAGACCGTAATCTCATTACAAACTGGAAAAATGTTAGTTGCCTCAGCTTTATATCATTTGAGCTAGGGGCCAAGACGGATGAGGTTGATTTGGCTTGATCATGCCAAAGAAATTTACTTCTTTTTTTGGAAAATGAAAGCATGTTTTAGAAGTTCAGGGTTAAGTTACCAAATCTGAGCTTTATAGCAAAGCAGAGGATCAAGAAAAGCAGAGTAGGATAATAAAGGTTCACATAGATGTAGTAATATGTCACTATTAGCTAGCTCAAGTATGTATGACTGTAGGAGCTCAGGAATACTCTTACTATGTCTTTGATTTTGTTAAAGACCCAATATATGATGAGGTGCTGCCTCTCCTGATGCCGAGCTGTTTAGAATTTGGTATTTCACATTTTTTTCTCTGGCCAGTAAATTTCACAAACATAACTGCAGGCCATCTGCTCCTGCGCAATGAAACTGTTTCAAAATTCATATTGTGTTTGACACCCTGAACCACTTTATTAGATAACAGATTATAACTACCACTTCTTTTTTATGCTGGACCATGATGAATCAACAATTTATTACATAAAAAATTTAATCCCTGGAGAAAATCAGAGTATTTATCGACAATATATGCTCTATGGATGTCGACAAATTTGATTGTAGGGGCTAGCAATGCTTCATTTCAAGATACTGTAATAACTCTTGCTGGTTAGTTACCTCTGATCCTAGCAAGTGAAATTAGAACTAATACATGTACATGATTGTTGTTTGAGTCGCACAGATTGACACATGTATGAATAAGTTTCAGTATTAGATTGGTGTACTGATCATGGCTATGCTGTGGAAGAGTTCTTGCAGGAAGTGTTCGAAAGTAGCATACTTTCGTTCTCTGTAAATTGGTACTAGATAAAAAGGATGTTCCATTTTCTGTAAATTGATAGAAAATGGATGCAGGGGAGCCTTGGCGCAGTAGTAAAGCTGCTGCCTTGTGACCATGAGGTCATGGGTTCAAGTCCTGGAAACAGCCTCTTACAGAAATGTAGGGAAAGGCTGCGTACTATAGACCCAAAGTGATCGGACCCTTCCCTGGACCCTGCGCAAGCGGGAGCTACATGCACCAGGTTGCCCTTTTGATAGAAAATGGATGCAGGTGTGACCTCGGGGAAGAAAGAGTCGGACGAAACTTGAAAGACTGAGAGGACCAGGGATTCTTCTTTCCTGGTGGTAAGGTGGAGACCCTGCTTGGGGAACATGTTGCGTACATCCTCGCTGCTTTTCTTCTTTCAGTTTTAGATACTTTCCTGCAGGCGTGTACCTATCTTGCTATGTACTGAATTCTTTGCAACTACCAGAGCAGGTTTTTCGGAAAAAAATTGCGGTGTTTTCTCTGCAGCGAAGCACAAACGTCCCACGGTGCAACACACATACTCTTTTGTTATTGGATATAATAATTGGTGCTTAATGATATTGCTTTGTATCGCCTTTTTTTGTCCGGTGCAACGCACAGGCATTTTTACTAGTAGTACTATATCGTCAACGAACGTTAAGCATGCCGACCCTACGGGTTCGAGAACTATGTAGACATGACCGAGACACCTCTCTGGTCAATAACCAATAGCGGAACCTGGATGACCATATTGGCTCCTATATAATCTACGAAGATCTTTATCGGTCGGACCGCATAACAACATACATTATTCCCTTTGTCATCGGTATGTTACTTGCCCGAGATTCGATCGTCGGTATCTCAATACCTAGTTCAATCTCGTTACCGGCAAGTCTTTTTACTCGTTCCGTAGCACATCATCCCGCAACCAACTCATTAATTGCAATGCTTGCAAGGCTTATGTGATGTGTATTACCGAGTGGGCCTAGAGATACCTCTCCGACAATCGGAGTGACAAATCCTAATCTCGAAATACGCCAACCCAACAAGTACCTTCGGAGACACCTGTAGAGCACCTTTATAATCACCCAGTTACGTTGTGACGTTTGGTAGCACACAAAGTTTTCCTCCGGTAAACAGGAGTTGAATAATCTCATAGTCATAGGAACATGTATAAGTCATGAAGAAAAGCAATAGCAACAAACTAAATGATCAAGTGCTAATCTAACGAAATGGGTCAAGTCAATCACATCATTCTCCTAATGATGTGAGCTTGTTAATCAAATGACAACTCTTTGTCTATGGCTAGGAAACATAACCATCTTTGATTAACGAGCTAGTCAAGTAGAGGCATACTAGTGACAATCTGTTTTGTCTATGTATTCACACATGTATCATGTTTCCGGTTAATACAATTCTAGCATGAACAATAAACATTTATCATGATATAAGGAAATAAATAATAACTTTATTATTGCCTCTAGGGCATATTTCCTTCAGTTCCCGAGGCGGCCATGAGGCAGGGGGCGCACCCCCACCCTCGTGGTGGCCTCGGGACTCTTCTGGCCCACCTCCGGTACTCCGTGGGCTTCTTCTAGTTCAAGAATGATCTCCGTGAAGTTTCCGGTCAATTGGACTCCGTTTGATTTTCCTTTTCCGCGATACATAAAAACAAGGAAAAAACAGAAACTGGCACTGGGCTCTAGGTTAATAGGTTAGTCCCAAAAATCATATAAAATAGCATATTAATGCATATAAAATATCCAAGGTTTATAATATAATAGCATGGGACAATAAAAAATTATAGATACGTTGGAGACGTATCAGCATCTCTGTTGAGCCTAGCTAGGACTACGGTGTGTTGATCGGCCGAGGCCGGTCATGACCTGATCGTGTGTCCGGCCGGAGTTGATCGAGCGTGTTGGGTAAGTTGGTGCACCCATGCAGGGAAGAATTCTATCTATTCGAATAGCCGGGTCCATGGTAACGGACGCTCGGAGTTGTATCCCGATCGATACAACTAGAACTTGATGCTGAGGCATGTAATGCAAATGATGGCTCCGGGATTGTTTTCTCGCAGGGAGTAGAGGAAGTGATCTCTGGGCATGTTACAACATACTTACTAATATTATAATATGCCTGTCGGTGTCAAAACCGGTGGATCTCTGGTAGGGGGTCCCGAACTGTGCGTCTAAGGCGGATGGTAACAGGAGGCGGGGGACACGATGTTTACCCAGGTTCGGGCCCTCTTGATGGAGGTAATACCCTACATCCTGCTTGATTGTTCTTGATAATATGAGTAGTACAAGAGTTGATCTACCATGAGACCGAAGAGGCTAAACCCTAGAAGCTAGCCTATGGTATGATTGTATGTTGTCCTTGAAGGAAATATGCCCTAGAGGCAATAATAAAAGTTATTATTTATTTCCTTATATCATGATAAATGTTTATTATTCATGCTAGAATTGTATTAACCGGAAACATAATACATGTGTGAATACATAGACAAACAGAGTGTCACTAGTATGCCTCTACTTGACTAGCTCGTTGATCAAAGATGGTTATGTTTCCTAGCCATAGACATGAGTTGTCATTTGATTAACGGGATCACATCATTAGGAGAATGATGTGATTGACTTGACCCATTCCGTTAGCTTAGCACTTGATCGTCTAGTTTGTTGCTATTGCTTTCTTCATAACTTATACATGTTCCTATGACTATGAGATTATGCAACTCCTGTTTATCGGAGGAACACTTTGTGTGCTACCAAACGTCACAACGTAACTGGGTGATTATAAAGGTGCTCTACAGGTGTCTCCAAAGGTACTTGTTGGGTTGGCATATTTCGAGATTAGGATTTGTCACTCCGATTGTCGGAGAGGTATCTCTGGGCCCTCTTGGTAATGTACATCACTCAAGCCTTGCAAGCATTGCAACTAATAAGTTAGTTGCGGGATGTTGTATTACGGAACGAGTAAAGAGACTTGCCGGTAACGAGATTGAACTAGGTATTGAGATACTGACGATCGAATCTCGGGCAAGTAACATACCGATGACAAAGGGAACAACGTATGTTGTTAGCGGTCTGACCGATAAAGATCTTCATAGAATATGTAGGAGCGAATATGAGCATCCAGGTTCCGCTATTGGTTATTGACCGGAGACGTGTCTCGGTCATGTCTACATAGTTCTCGAACCCGTAGGGTCTGCACGCTTAAAGTTCGGTGACGATCGTAATTAGGGTTTTTGTGTTTTGATGTACCGAAGGTTGTTCAGAGTCCCGGATGTGATCATGGACATTACGAGGAGTCTCGAAATGGTCGAGACATAAATATTGATATATTGGACGCCTATATTTGGATATCGGAAACGTTCCGGGTGAAATCGGGGTTTTACCGGAGTAGCGGGGGGTTACCGGAACCCCCCCGGGGGTTAATGGGACTACATGGACCCTAATGGAGAAGAGAAGGGCTGGCCAGGGCAGGCCGCACGCCCCCTTCCCCCCTTAGTCTGAATAGTACAAGGAAGGGGGGCGCCCCCCTTTCCTCTTTCCCCCTTCCCCTTTCCTTCTCCAACAAGGCAAGAGGGGGAGAGTCCTACTCCCGGTGGGAGTAGGACTCCTCCAGGCGCACCCCTAGGGCCGGCCGCACCCCCTCTACCTCCTTTATATATGGGGGCAAGGGGGCACCCCAGGACACACAAGTTGATCTTCATGATCGTTCCTTAGCCGTGTGCGGTGCCCCCTTCCACCATATTCCACCTCGGTCATATCGTAGCGGTGCTTAGGCGAAGCCCTGCATCGTTAGAACATCATCACCGTCATCATGCCATCATGCTGACAAAACTCTCCCTCAACACTCGGCTGGATTGGAGCTCGAGGGACGTCACCGAGTTGAACGTGTGCAGAACTCGGAGGTGCCATACGTTCGGTACTTGGATCGGTCGGATCGGGAAGACGTACGACTACTTCCTCTATGTTGTGTCAACGCTTCCGTTGCTGGTCTACGAGGGTACGTAGACAACACTCTCCCCTCTCGTTGCTATGCATCACCATGATCATGCGTGTGCGTAGGATTTTTTTTGAAATTACTACGTTCCCCGATAGTGGCATCCGAGCCTGGTTTTATGTGTTGATGTTATGCACGAGTCGAACACAAGTGAGTTGTGGGCGATATAAGTCATACTGCTTACCAGCATGTCATACTTTGGTTCGGCGGTATTGTTGGA